ACTATTTTACACTTTCAACCTTCTTCTTGTCTTCATCATAGGATTGATCGTGGTAACCTACTACACAAGTGAATCGTGATAATAAATTGTTTTTGTTTGTTAATCGTTAATTTCTCTTAGGAAAGTCCTTTGAGATAATTGTGTTCTTGGGTTCTTTGATTTTGTTAGCTTGGATTGAGACGATTCCAGGTCTAACAACGATATCAGTCAAAAAAAAAAACTAAGCTTACTTTCTATAGTATAATCAATCGTTTAAATGTTTTCGGATAAGAATTTGGATAGAATTTAAACCATAGAATAGTGTTTGTTGTTCAATAAAAATAACTTACCATCTATTAGAATCATTGATTATTTTTAAAATAAAAATTTAATTAGGTTTGAATTAAAATATAATTAATTAATAAGTAGAAGAATTATTGAAATTACTTACCGACTATTATTATTTCATCAAACGTTAACGTCAATGAAGAGTTTAAATTATACTAAAACAATATAAATAAAGATAAACAATAAAAAAATATCTTACTCCCTATAAAATCATCGAGATAATTTTAGTTGAATATAAATTATATATATAAATTACATTAAGAGAAGTATAACTTACAATTTGTGATTTCATTTATTGTTGAATATTTCGTAAGTATAATTTATTGTTGAAGTTGATATATAAACCAATGTATAAATGCTCTTTACCTTCTAAACCTTCTAACGTATTAGAGTCTGAAAGTAGTTCTAGAGAGTAGCAAATTTATTTGTTTAAGAAACATTTTGTGGAATCATACCGTTTCTAATTTCATTTACCTTTATTGATATTATCGGACATTAACGCATTTGGGTTACAACATCTGCCTTTAACTTTTCGGAATTGTGAGAGTTTATACATATCACATGACCTTTGTTTCATACGCCCCGTGTTTACTAAAGGAATTCATTTATTTATTATCTATATTACTATCGACAGAATTTAAAATATAATATTCAATATTTAAAAAAAAAAAATCAATTGATTTATAAATAACTCCTTGTTTTCGTAAATCATCAAACTTAATAATTAAAATAATGAAACTCTATGCTTTTACGATTATTTGAAGAAGCAAGCAGTTAAAACAGTGATACCTTCACAATAAATTGAAACGGTTTTAGCATTTTTAAAAAGTTAAATCGCGACCTCCTAACTGAAAAAAAGATTATAAATTCCTCTCGTTTGTACGTTATCATGAAGTTATTCAAAGAAAATGCGCTCATTTGCTTTTCTTCTTTATTTTGCATGCCTTCGAGGTCGAGGGTAGCTGTTCAGGTATCGTATACAAATGATTCTAACAAATCTGATGACAGTTTCTGAACCTTTGCTAATTGGACTAACAATTAACTAAATAAACATATGTTTTTATTAATACAGCATGGGTAATTATGAAGATCGCAAAAAGAATGGAGATCCTATTCTTAACAATAATTTAGCACGGGATGTATTTTAGTCAATAAGAATAGTAGATATTTATACATTTGTGAGAGCCATCACCTACCTCTAACTAACACGAATGAAATCAAGGAGACACTTTATTACAGGAATGAAAAACCTGGATACAACTTTGATAAATCATGGTTATTTTATCCAGATGTCTACTGGGTAACTCATTGGGAGAGCAACAAACTTAAAAGTGGGAAAGATCCACTTCCCGACGATTATGATTTGTGGGTGCATGTGTACGATGCTCCGTAAAAGTGTGTTTTTTCTACATGTCACATGGACATGAGTAAGATGTATGATTGTACTATTAGATTACCCGTGTTTGTTAAAAATTATTAAAATAAATAACAATTGTAGTAATGGTTGAAATAAACTGTGTATTTACGATTGTAGCACAAAATATTGTGCGATGCATTTTTATGAAAAATTAAATTGCAAGTAGAACATTTTTCGATGTTATAAATTATACAATATATAAATTTAAACAATTCAAAGTGAAATCCTTTATTATTTTATAGAAAAAGATAAAAATAAAGGCCGGCCGGCTTGGAGGAGAATAAGGCATCAGAGATTATCCCTTATTACCATTTCCCATGTGCCAATTTGTCTAATTTGTTAGTGATGAAGATCACAGATTTTCAATTGCTAATAATTTCTATTAAGATTTGCTTAAATGGATACATAAAAGATAAAGTGAAGTCGAGTCTGTAATAAGAAATATTACTTGCCAAAATTATTTAGAAGCGAAGCATTATCTTGTTAAGGCCTAAGGTCTGATAATGCCTCTATTTTTCCTAACGCAATGGACTAACGAACCATCGAAAGGAGCTCTTGAAGACGATCGTATGCTTAATTTTACACCTATGGCGCAATAAATTTACGTGAGCAAACTATAGACAACCATTTTTTCAATTTTATTAATTTATCTATAAGTAGATTATTTTTTAATCAAATAAAAAATAATAAGGAATATTATAACAAGTAAATTGTTTTTGTCAACATGTATTTAAATTCTTAATATTACATATAACAAATAATAAAAAAGATAATTATGGAATCAAATGTATTTAATCTAATATATTCAATTGTCATAATTAGGAAGCATATTTAATAAAATTGTCTTCTTTATGGGAGCATTGCCAGTAAAATCTATATTCATATTGATTTACCTTGACAATTCATGGGTATTATTCTAACTCTAAATAAAATTTTTTTCCAATTCTTGAATAAATTTCCATATTTTGAACAAGGAATGTATCAAAATTTATTTGACGTTTTATACCAGATAATAATAGAACTTTTAATTCATACAGAAAAAAAATATCTTCGATTAATTATATTGTGTTGAATACATGAAAATAGAAATAAACTTTGTCGTTAAATTAAACACACATTACAACGCTGCAGCAATTCAAGTGATTATAAAATTTTCAATATTGATTATTTTGTCACTTTTCAATACTGTTTTTTTTTGCTAACTACATTAACGAAAACCTTTGTGTCACCTAGTAATAGAATATTGAAAGCTGTCCAGCGTCATAAATTGCAATATTTAAAAAACCATTTACATATATTAATATTACACCTTTTTTTTACCACGACTCATATTACAAAGCCAAAATAACAAAAAAATAATGCTTTAGTATCGAATTTTGTTAACATTTAATATTCTTTATTTTATTAGACATAACTAGCAAGAAGTGGAAAAAGTGAGCAATCTCGGTATATATTTATTTGTTTATCGCTATTTATTTATTTATTTATTATTATTATTATTTCCTTCCTGTACTGGACGGACGGGAGACTGCTGGTGTTCGACTTGGATGACTAGACTTAATTGCAAACTAGCGCTACAGGAAGGAGGTAGTTTTATTGTGTAAGAGAAATTGACCATGTATATTGTCCTGGCTTCTCGCTTCCTGAAGGTCTCCTAATCGCGATACTAGAAACTTTCTTATAATATGAAACAGAACAAATTTATCAGATAGACCATTTATCAATTAAGTTAAAATTATATTTATTAATTTATGAGAAGAATTTCACCAATTTGCCAAGCAAATTTTATGTTACATTATTGTAATCGTTACTAAATTGATATTTGTTTTATGTTAATTTCTATAATTAACCGACAGCTTTTTGAAACCAAAAAAAGGCATTTTTTTTTTGTTCCTTCACCATTTTTATACAATACTGAAAGATTATATGGTATATTTGCAGTAGAAAAGGTTGAAACGACTGAAAAAATAAAAATTAGTTAATGCTAATCCTTAACATATTTTGACCTAAAATTCTGTTGAAAATGTACAAATTGATGCACAAAATAATCTTGCAAATTTATATTATAGTGGTAAAGGAACAGAAAAATAATTTAGAAAAGGCCCTTTACTGATTTCAAAAGGCTGCTTATTTATTCATCTTTGCAATAAAAAAGGGGAACTGCCGGAAAAATCAATTTTACTTTATTTGCAAAATATGCATTTTGATACAAACAAAAGTCTTTCTAATTTCATTTCTGTTCCTTCACGATTTCTATTATTTTTGATTTATTTCTTCATTTTCTGCAGGCTTTTTATACCCAATAAATAAATTATAGTTTAATTCAGTTCCAAATTCTTTTTAAAGCATATACCTAAATAAAATTGCGACAAAGGATAATCTCTTGCTATTTTTTGAAAGGATATAAATCCTTCATTATTGTCGTCTAGACTAGGCAGTTTATAATAATAACAAATTCAAAGAAACTATTATTTTTATTTTTAATTTTTAGATTTGCTGCGATTAATTAATTTATATTTCATTTTGTCCAAATCTAATCAACATACAAAAGGAATGAAAATCTTAAATTATTATTTTTCGTTAATTAAGTTAATAAATAATAAGTTACTTGCATGTGATGAATATCATTTGAAATAACGGGTCTAGACAAGTTCTAATTAAAAAAAGTAATGTGCTTATTTAATACGAAGTTAGTTATCCATTAAATGAAATGAAATTCAAAAGTTGAATGTTCATATTCTTTAAGGAACTAAGTGAATATTAAAATTATCTTGATCAATTATTTAAGTGTCAATCATGAATTTTTAAAAAAGAGTAATAGTTGATGAGATTAGATAGACTGTTCTATTTGTCGGAAAGGAAAACATAAAAAATAAAAATAGACGACAATCAAACGATAGCGATATCTATGAAGAGTTTAAAAATATCTAAATACCAAATTTGCTTTATCTTGGAAAATTCGCAAAAATCGGTTTACGTATACCGGCACGTGAAAAACAATTTTGTGGTCGAGCGTTCAATATTTCCTCAGAAGATTTGAGCTCGCTAAATATGTTAAAAGTAAATCACAAGTCTATTATTGCTTGGTCATTTTCGATTTAATACGTATGTACATACCCTAAATTTCCAAATATTGCCTTAAACTGGAAAGAAAATATTATTAGACTAATATGTTCAATCAGTTCGCATAATCTCAAGTCTTTAAATATTATACAATTATGTTAGCATTTTTTATTTTAAGTTATATATATATATACACCTCAAATCACCGACCAATTTTTTGAAAAAAATAATTTTATTATTAGCAAAGTTAAAACTTTTATGACACGTTTCTTAAGCTATTAATTTACAAATAACAAATAATATGGCTCAAATTATTCACGCGTCATTAAAAAAAATAATTATTACATTTGGATTCGTGATATTTTTCTATTGATCACTTTAATTATAAATGTAAATCGAAAATTTAAAACCAAAAGAATTAATGGGCAAATTATTGGCTTGTTCAAAGCTAATAAAAGTTAACGGTATAATTCTCGCATTCATAAAACTACAGTTCATAATTCTTTAGTACTCTTTAAAAACACAACATAACAAGTTGTGTATGGTCGTCCACTTTTAATAGAAATTGATAAAAAAAGGATTTGTTTTAATAATGATTGATAAAAAATCACGTATAACATTGGCTTATATTCAACAAAATTTTCAAGAAAAACAAATATTCAAGCTTCACAAAAAACAATTTTACACAATCTTGGATTTTCACCTTGACAAAAAGAATATCGTCATAATTGGGGACGATTAAAATATTATGGTCTGATGATCACGATTTGCTGTTTATAATAATGATGGTCCAACTCATGTTTGGAGGCTTCCTTGAAGACGTTTAATGAAGAAATTTATCGCCAAATGTAAAACATAATATTGAAAGTTATGGTTTGTAGTTGCTTTTCAGGTAAGGATTGGACCCATTAGTTTTAGTAGAAGGAACTATGGATCGATGGGATTATATTGAAATTCTTGACAAAACTTATTATCATAAATTGTTGATAAATTTAATGGTTAAGGCTATTTTTTAAGACATAATGCAACCGTGCATAGTTATTAAAGTTTTAATCAACATATATTTCATTTCATTTAACTTTATATTCAGAAGGTGTGAATTCCGTTGAACTAAATCTTTGAGAAACCTCACATTGTTAAATGCCTTTGATTATGAATTTTTATAATCAGTACATTAAATAGTCTAATGAGTCCTTTCTTGTAATCATCATTTAAAAATAGACAGAGATTCTTAAAATGCAGGACTGCTGACATTTTCTTTTGATTATACGCGTGAATTCAAGAGAATTCATTTAACTTGATACATTTGTGCATCAACTATTCAAGTTTGGGATAAATTAAAATCGTAATCGATTAGTTAATATTTTAAGGGATTTTCCGTTTATAATAATTAAAAATGAACAGCTAAAGAAATTAAATTCCTAGGGCTATTGCAAAACAGTTCCTTTTACAAGCCTTCCGAAATACAATAATAATTATAGAAATCTTTCAAATATTCAAGAAATTTTAAAAGTACATTTTTTTTTGTATTTTGTTTTATTTAGTCAGGAACGAAGCGAAGGACTTTCATATACTAGCATATGTTACACAAGGTGCCCCGTTGTCAGACGATGCTGATTGGCTTTTGCAATTATTTTTTTTAGTTAATATCGTTCCGGACTTAACAATGGTTTCCGAAACCATTCCCTAGTTTAATAAATAGGTAACAAAAATTATCTTGAAAATAAGAAAATACACAAGAGAGTAAGTTTTATTCATAAAATTCGTTAGGGGATTAATAATCCATCGACACTGTCTAAAAACCATATATTAAATATAATTTAATAAATAAAAATACTTAGAAACAAACTTTTATTCTTTAATTATCTATATATTGCAAACAAAGTTAAATGAACGTAATCGTGTTAAAATTT